GGGAAGATGGTGACCATCAGCCAGAGGAAATGAATCTTGTAAAACCACAAAAGTCTTGAGCATTCTTTGTTTCAAAGGTTTTTGACTACAGATTTGGTTTCAAAAACAGACATAGGACTACTCATTACTCTATTTCCTCTGGAGTGTTTTCTGGCAGTTCATCTCTTTCAAGAGAGACGTTCCATTCACCCAGGCAGTGGAATTTATGGCTGTGAAATTGTTCGTCATATTCTTTTATTACCCCTTTAATGCATAATGTCTCCTCTTTCATTGCTGCTATCAGTGATGTGCCGCCCACTCTGGCTCTCTTTGTCAGTTCGGCTTACAGGAAGCGATTCTGTCCGTCTGTTGAAGAACCAGCTTCTGTTGTCCTTGATTTTCTGGTGCCATTTTTCAGTAGTCAGCACCATCAATTTCCACTCCTATCTTGATCCTTCCTTTTCTCTGCTCGCTTCACAGTCAGGTCACGCTCCTTTCCCCTGTTTCTCAAAGTGACCAAGGGCTCATGTCTCGTCTCTCCCCATAGGCCCCTGTGTTTCCTTAGATTCCATGACAGCTGGTTGCCCTGTGACCTAAGTTCTCTGAGGGCTCAAGCATAGTCATAGACCTGCAGATTGTCTTCTCTGTGTGTGTGCGTGGTGGTGGGAGTGAGGTCCTTTTCGGGTGTCTGTCCCCTGGGCAGCAACAAGACCATCACTTTGTTTTCCACATGCTCAGAGACTTGACTCAAGTCCTGAAAGGTGGACCCTCAGGGATCTAAGGCTGAATTCCCCCAACCTTTCACACTCACTGCCCTCCACGGTCCCCTGTCATCTAGTGATGTATCCCACCCAGGTGTGGTAGCTGTGTGTCAGCCTGGCTGGGCCTGGCTGAGTGGCTGGGCAGCTGGATGGAGTGCTCCCCGTGATGAGACTGGTGATCAAGTGCACGGTGGAATCTGCTGTGAGCAGCTGAGTACCTGCCTTAGGGATGTGGTCGGCTGCAGTGTGTAAGAAGCTTTGAGAAGGGTCTCTGAGCTTTGTGGCACATCTGCATTTGGCCAAGTCTTCATCCCAGTGGCCTGCTGCTCTTGAGACTCTCTGGACTCAAGCTAGTGGCTTGCTGTGCTGCTTGATAATGTTGGGACAGTGCCATTTTGCTTGTCGACATTGGGTGTGTCAGCCTCAGCAGCCAGCAGCTGCCTGAGTTAAGAGATGTCTCCAGCTCCAGTGGCTGGGAGCAAGAGGCAGAGCTGGAGCCCAAGGTCAAGGGGCTTTCACCCAGCACCTAAGAGCTGGCACTTTGAACTCGGACTTCTAGCCTCTAAAACTGTAAGAGAATAAACCCTATTTGTTAAAGCCGCCCATTTGTGGTATTTTCTGTTGGTGTGGCACAAGAGGTCCAAAACACCAGGACTATGTTCACTTATAAGCAGCTCTGGTGGCATAGTGCCTAAGGCACTTGACTGCTAACCAGAAGGTTGTCAGTTCAAACCCAGCAGCCACTCCTCGGAAGGAAGACTGGGCAATCTACTTCCGTAAAGATGAACCTCCTTGGAAACCCAAGGGGGCTCACTATGAGTTGGAATCAACTCAATGGCAGTGAGTTTGGGTGGGTTTTTATGCATTCACTTGCAGGGCCAGCTGCGTAGGATCCTGGGGGAGCATGGGTGTAAGTACGTCAGCCTCCCCCCACCTGGTGTAAAGACCCTGATGGTGCCCAGAGACACTGGCTGCAGGAAAGACAAACAGCCTGGATCCACCTCTGGGGGTAGTCCAGGGGTAACAGGGCTGTGCCCCACTGCAGAAGGCCTGCAGTGGAGATGAGGAGCAAACAGGGGGGCCCCAGGCCAGAGGGGCTGCGCTGCCCTCCTCACCCCTGCTCCCACTGTCTATCTGCTCAACCCTTGGCATCACAGACCCCTGCCCCAGCCGGCCATGGGGTCCCCTGTATCAGGACCCCCCTCTGTGCCACTGGCCTTGATGTCTCTGATCACTAGGACTCCTGCCCCAGATGAACAGAGAGGGGAGACAGGAGGAGAGGTTCAGGGGGTCTTGAGAATGAGCCCCTCACCATCACGGGCCCCCTCTCTGAGCGCCGGAGGTCAAGAGCCCTGTCAACAGGGCACCTCCCACCTTGGAGCAGGGACGGTGAGTGCCCAGCGGGCCCCCCAGTGAGACTGGGGACAGTGAGCGCCCAGCGGGCCCTCCCTCAGGGATCAGGGATAGTGAGCGCTGAGGACAGAGCCCAGCTCCGGCAGGGTGGTTGACACTGAGTGTCCCAGAGGTCCCAGAGCCTGAGTCCTCGAGGCTGGAAGGAGGTTGGTGGTGTTGCCCTGGGCGTGGGGGTGCCTCAGGGAGTTACGTGGCTGAAGTTCCAACAGGACGCAGGGCTGGACAGCTTCTTGTGGGGGCAGGGATGTCTGAGGCAGGCAGCATTGGCTCCTCTCTTCCTGGCCCCTATGGCAGGAAGAGGTGGGTGCACAAGCCCCAGACCTCCCCTCCCACAGGGGGCAGAGGTGGGGTGCACAGTCCCCAGACCCCACTCCCACAGTAGGCAGAGGTGGGTGCACAGGCCTCAGACCTTCCCTCCCATGGTGGGCAAAGGCTGGGTGCACTGGCCCCAGGCCACCTCCCATGGCAGGCAGAGGTGGGGTGCACTGGCCCCAAATCCCCAACCCACATCGGACAGAGGTGGGGTGTACTGGCCCCAGTCCTCCCCTCCCATGGCAGGCAGAGGTGGGTGTGTGGGAGGAAGACAGCTGGTTGAGGGAGGAAGCTGCTCACCGGCTAAAAGATTGGGGGTCAGTGGTACCCCTTCTTTGCAGATCCTCCTTTTTGGGGCTCAGCAGGGCCTTGGGGAGCAGAGCCTTAGGAAGCAGGGGGCTGGTACCCTTGTATACCTTGGTCAAAGAAGGGTACCCTTCTTTGAAGATGCTCCTTGGGGAGCAGGGGGCTGGTACCCGGGACTTTCCTCTCGTCTGGCCCGGATCGCTGATAGACAGCAGCTTGGACAGCAGGGCTGACAGATAGCGCAGCGCCGGCTCAGTGACCATGTGTCCACAGGGCCACACGGCTGGGTGAGCCAGATGGGGCTGGGCCATGGCCACCGGAGGGGCAGCGGTCCAGGGTGCTCCCAGGGAGCAGGAGGCAGGGCACCGCAGACACGTGCAGCCCCTGCTCTGGGCCCCCAGTTCTGGGGCAGGAGGGGACCCGTCCTGGGCGGGAGGGGCGGCAGGGCTGGGGGCAGGGCCGGGGACGGTGCTGGGCTCGGGCAGGAAGCCCCTCTGCGCCTCAGTTTCCAGCGTCTGTGAACGAAGGTGAGATAGCCCCTGTGTCGGGGGTTCCCGTGAGATGGTGTCGGGACCAGCGTCATGCGTATGCCACGTGCAGACCACCATGGGCCCCGTGCTCAGAGGGGCCCTCACCTGGCCGGTTGCAGGCTTTGCTGTTGTGGGAACAGGTCATTCCCCTCTGTCACGCAGAGCCAAACATCACACCAAGTTGAAGCGGGAAACAAAAGAGTTTGAATATCGATCCCCACGGAGACAGAGGGCACCTTGAGAAAAAGTCAGGGGTTTCTAAGGGGATTTTCTGGGGGCGGGGCTTGGTGACACTAATGTCGTCTTCTCGTTACCTGATGAGCCATCTCTTCCTTCAAACATTCTGTCACTGTGGTCAGTAAACCCCATAAACCCGCCTGGTTTCTAAAGCCTTCGTACTTGTCCGAGCAGGTCACCTCTAGAGGAGGGAAAATGTGGGAGTGTGGGCGCTCAGGCCTCGCGGCCGAGGACGTCCCTGTTTCCTCTTTATCTTGGTCTCTTGACGTCTCTTTTCTCAGGACATCTTGCTCCGTCAACCACAGTTATCAGCTAAGGATGGGCAGTGGGTTTATACCACATCCTCAAAGAGACATCAAGGAAAGAAACAACCCTGAGTGACCAACCCACTGACGCAGAAGGAAGAGGGAAAGAAGGCGCTAAGGCCGCGGTGAGCGTCCCCCTCATCGCGGCGGTTCATCTGCTACCGGCTGTCATTCCTCAGCGGCAGGCTTCCCCGGTCCGTCGGCACTGTCGCCTTTGGGAAGCGTTGCCCACGGCCCCGCGTGGGCACTCTCCACAGGGTCCCACAGGTGCTGCCACTGGCTGGGTGCAGCGTGCAGAGTGGGAGGCACGGGGGCCGTGCGGGGGGTGCCAAGCTGTGGGGGAGGCACGTTGTGGGGACCCCTGAGGCCGCTGTAAGTCAGCCTGCACCCACGTGGTGGTGTAACCAACGCAGATCTCCTGTCTTTCTGTCCTGGGAGTCAGAAGTCTGGCGCAGGCCTCCTTGGGCAGACATCCTGGTGTCACAGGGAGAACCCAGCTCCTGACTTTTCCCAGCTGCTGGGGCCACCCCCAATCCTTGGTCGTGGCCCTATCTTCCAGGAGAACGGCCCCCATCTCAAGTGTCATACCCTTAGTCTAATCAGCAAAGCCCCGTAATCTATGTTCACAGGTTCCAGGATCAGGCAGGACCCAGGTCTATTTCAGGCACTGTTGTTGTGTTCCACACGTGTGCTGGGGTGCAAGTGGGGGTGGAACCCCAATGCCTGGGCTGGAACAATCGAGCTGCCTTCTACAGGGGCTCGCATGGCAGTGGAGGCAGGAAGACCCCCGACCAGGAGTCCAGACCCCTGGCCCCTCCGTGGGCAACATCGGGCTTGCCTGGGCCGTGAGGATGAGTGAGGAGGGCGGGGCTGAGCGTGGCTGTCGGCCCACATGACCCTGAGCTGGGGCCACAGCAGGTGCTGAGGTGAAGGAGCCCTGATCCCGGCCGGAAGGCACACCCTGGGGATTATCAGAGGTCCCCTTTGTGACTCAGTTTCCCCCATTTAAGGGAGCCATAGCACAAGAGGGTCTCCGAGGGCCCCTACCGGCTTGGTCATCAGCCGTGGACACACACAGGGAGTTAGGAAGGCGCCTGCCAGGCTGGGCCCCGTGTGACTGCGTGTCTGTTCTGTGGTGGGCACAGGACGCAGGACGGATGTGGGACGGGGACACAGCCAGGACCGGGGAGGGGGCTGTCCCAGGGCTGGGAGTGGTCCTGGTCCCTGACACCACCCTTGCTCCTCACCCCCAGCCCCAGACCTGGAGCGAGGGGGGGGTTGTAGGGGGGCATGAGGCCCCCAGGAGGAAGTGGCCCTGGCAGGTGAGCCTGCGGGAGGATACCGAGTACTGGAAACACGTCTGTGGGGGCTCCCTCGTGCACCCTCAGTGGGTGCCGACCGCAGGGCACTGTGTCGGACCGTGAGTACCAGGGCACAGGGTGGTGGGGCTCCGGGCTGTGCCCGCATTGACCAGCCCTGAGCAGCCCTTCCTCCTCTCCCCAGGAAAGTCAGGGACCCCTCGATGCTCAGGGTGCAGCTGCGGGAACAGCACCTGTACTGCCATGACCAGCTTCTGCCCGTCAGCAGGGTCATTGTGCACCCCAACTTCTACACCGCGGAGAGGGGCGGTGACATCGCCCTGCTGGAGCTCCAGGACCCGGTGAACATCTCCAGCCACGTGCAGCTGGTCACCCTGCCCCCCACCTCCGAAACCTTCCGGTTGGGGATGCAATGGTGGGTGACCGGTGGGGGCGATATGGGCAATGATGGTGAGAGTTGGGGGCAGGGATGGTCCCGTTGGTCCCCTGTGTCCCGCCTGGTCTGCCCTTCCTCTCTTCTTGTTCCCCAGAGGCCCTGCCACCATCCTTGCAGCAGGTGAAGGTCCCCATTGTTGAAAACAGACTCTGACTTCAACGGCCACACTAGTCTCCCCACTGCAGACAGCATCCTCATCACTCACGATGCCATGATGCGTGCTGGGGACACCCAGAGGGACTCCTGCCACGTGGGACCCTGCCCCACTGCAGCCC